ATTTTAAGTGGGTGATATTTTAGTTTCTGACCTGACTGACTTTTTGCTATTTTGGGAAGATCAAATAGACGTTGCTCACCATGAACTCAATTCTACTATGAGATACTGTTCTGGTTATCACCAGTAAGGATGTCAGTGACCTACACTTTGCATCTGAAAGGACAGAGTGGAAACAGATGCTTTTTTTGCATACATTCCTCTTCATTTAACCCCTTCCTACATTTTTAAACCAGAAATATCTAAAACATATGATTGATGAGGTGAGTTATTCAGTTCTTACATTTTCTCAGTTTGAGAAACCTCCACTCATATAAACTAATTTTTGTACCCATATAAACAAATTTCTGCCATGTATCTCTTAGTTTAAGTCACCAATGGTCGGTTGGAATAAAGAATGATATTTGTTATTAGCCTACCTTCCAAGATTGATTTAAATGTAAACCTATCAGAAATTTAAAAAAAAATAATTCTTATTTGCACATACCAGTGTCATGAAAGTATTAAAAAGCCTATCAAAAGACCATTGCATCATTTTACCTAATAAACATAACCAAAATAATCAGCTATTTCTATAAATAGTTTAACTAGAAAAGATATTTGAAAGCTCATTCTTTGAAAACACTTTTCAGAAAAACCTTTTGCAAAATAGAAGCAATATATTCATTTTTTAGATGCAGGTATCTGTCGATCTGACATCATGCTTGACAAAGGGACATGTGCATTATAAGCCACATCTCCCATTATTTATCTCTGTACTCTGGCACACAGTAAATGCTCCCCAGAAGTTTGATAAATGAATGAATTAAGATAAAGCAGTTATTATAGATGCTCCTTCATCTTCATTAGAGCCTTCGTCTGGAATCTCCAAGATCCCCTGAAAGTTTCTTGGGTCAGATATTCATAAGTCAGATGCCTCACTCTGAAGTCCACAACACAACCAGTTTATTCCTGACCTTGGTCCCTCCTCTTCCCTTCCACAGTCATTTTCTCCCCATTGTCTAGACCAGAGAGATGAGGAAGGAAGAAAGAAGCAAAAGATATGGCAGACAGTCATTTATCTTCTACCATAGTATATGGTGAGTGGGGAAGAGAAAAGTCATTCTGACAAACTACCCAAATCCTTCTAAATTCTAGAGTGCTTTTTCCAGTGCATTGATTTTTGGTGAGTGGGTGGGGAAATTCTGTTAGCTGCTAAAGCAACAGGATATCTCCAAAAACCATGTATCCCAGCACATTGAAACTTTTAAGATCTTTGGACAAAGGAAAATAAAAGAAACATTTTTCAAACTGGCTGTGACAGGAACAAAAAACATATTTATTAAATCCAATGGTAAATTAAATACAATGCAGTGCCCCTGAATCGTGCAGCTGGTACAAGACAGGGAAATAAGTTTTGGTGGACTGCCAGAAAATTTCCACAAATGGGCACTGACCCACAGACTACAGGTTAAAGAATAGGAGCATATTATAACCTGGCCAATGAAATTCTAATAAGTTATCAGGGAAAATGAGACTCAAAAGAATAGGCATTCAAAATGCTAGCCCCATTGATGAAGATAAAAGTTCACCCAGTGCAGAAATTTAGGCTCAGGTTAGATGAGGAATTCTCACCCAAAGGTATATTTTCAAGGGACATTACATTGGATAGAAATATTTTTGGCTGTCACAGCTCAAATGGAGAAGTTGGCATACTATAGGCCAGCGGTGCTGCCAAACACCTGACAGAGCAGGGGATAGCCCCTTGTCACATTAAAAACAATGCAGTACAAAAATGTCAATAGTTCTGAGACTGCCAAACTCTGGGATAAACTAAAGCTTGTCTTCAGAAATTCTGGTCTAGTCATTCATTCATAAAGTTAAGGTGGGCATTTATAAAACATTATATAAAATATATAAAACAAGGAAGGATAAAGCAATAAACTATCAGAAAGTCAGCACAAAGAATTCAATGACACAAATAACTACATAGGAAAATTGAGAGTTCTCCATATCAGAGGTAAAAATTTCAAGCAGAATCAAATCACTCATTCAACAAATATTTACTGAAAAACTGCGAACCATGTTCTTAAAGGACTGTGTGTATGTTTATTCACAGCCAGGCCAGGGAACAAGGAATCACCACAACTGCCCTGTGTTTTGTTTCAGTAACATGAAATATTGAGCTTGAAGTATGGCAACTACAGAGAACTCATCCCTTTACCTGTTAGTTTATAATTTCTTAGTTAAATGCTCTACACAAGCCATCCCTTGCTAACTCAAGGGGTCTATGTAACAAATTTTAAAAAATTCTTACTAAATGTAAGGATTACAAACTTTGCTTGCTTGGAGCAAAATTTGTTAATATTGCTGATCAGTTGAAAATACTGAGCAAAGAAAATTTCTCCCCTGTTCACAATTATCTCATTTATATTACCTGCCTAATGCAAAACCCAAGAATCAAGACATGAATGAATACTTGGTCATTACAGTGATGCATGCCTCTAAAAAATCATTTTATTTATACCTCTATAATATCCTCAAAATTAATTTCTTCTGCTTGAATAAAAATGGAAAATAGCCATGTACTGCCCTAAAATGTCTACAGCTATATTAATAAAACGTTAACTTCTCTAAATTTAAACTTTAAAACCAATTAACTCATCAAATTGTCATTGTTACCTAAAACATTCTAATAAAAACAAAATATCTTGAATAAAAAAGAATCTTTACAAAAAACAGAACATAGAGAGCTGATTTTATTCCTATTATAACAACCATGGTATCACTCTCTCCTAATATTTACTATACCAATTAAGAGAGTATTTGAGATTATTACTAGTTGCAAGGAACTTATTTTCTATATTACCTTTCCCCTTTAATAAAATTATATTTATAAGCAATACTATTATCAATATGAAATAGCCTGTTCCTCATAGCCCCCTATATCACAAACCTTGGATGACCTTTCCCCTTTAATAAAAGTATATTTATAAGCAATACTATTATCAATATGAAATAGCCTGTTCCTCATAGCTCCCTATGTCACAAACCTTGGTGAGGATTTCTACCAAGTACAGGGACTAACTTAAGAATTACCAAGCTAAATTACGACTTCAGGAGTTAAACAGATAGCTTCATGAAGACTACAACTGTCTACACTTAATAAGAAATCAGAAAATTAGAAATAAGAAACGGAACATATCTAACAGAAAGCAACCATAAGAGAAATGGCTTCCATTCTTATTTTTCTGTGCCCAATGTTTTTTAGTTGAAAAGGGAATGTGATTCTTTGTAATACTTCAATAACCCAAAGTCAATTTATCAGATATAATTTTAATCAAAAGGAGGAGATTGAGGACATATAGATAACCTTTCAAAGATTTGTAAGAGTAAAGTCACCACAGTTATTTAAAAGTAAGGGCATTAAAACAAAACATTAAAATCATGTTTCTTTCCTACAACAGCTTTAAAAAAATAACCAGTAAACGATTAGCATACCCCTGAGTTTTGGCTTAAAATCAAGGGCTTTAGGAAAATACTCAAGATATCTCTTGAAGTATTTTTCAAGATATCTCTTGAGTATTTTTAGAGCTGAATATAATTAAATAACAAAAGCCTTAACCCCCCTCCCCACCACGACCAATAAAGTATGTTCCAATTTCAAGCAATGAAAGGTAAAAACATATCTCAAAATCATTAAACTGTTAGTCTTTATTAAAAATAGAATAAAGCAATAACCATTTCTCAACAAACAAAAGTGGCAAACGGCAATCTCTTTATTATGTCAAAAAGTGATGGGTCCACCTAAATTATGGTCACAGTTATTGGTATCCAGAGTTTGCTGTAGTCAACTTCTCTGTTCCAAAGAGAGATAAAGAGACATCCACCAAATTAGTCCTGTCCAACACAGGTAATGTCTGTATTCTCCACAACAGCACTGCCAAAAACCATTGGCTAGGGTCTACTGGCAAACAAAAGTTTCAGCTGCTCCACCTGGCACCAACTATCTATCTGCCAGAATGCAAATGCTGGTATCTAGACTGATGCAAAGACAATCCCTCCACCAGAGAGAGACCTAGGTCAAATGTTATAAGCGACTTCTAAAAACATAGGCTTTGAGAAGTATCCTCCATAATCAGGGTCTAGCAGAAACCAGGAAGAGCTAAAATCCAGGTCAACTAAGTCTGCAGTCTCCTACCAAAGCCAATTGAGCTCAGATAGGATTCAAAGTAACACTTTCGTATCTGCAGAGAAGCCACACAGGGCAGGACATACCGAGTTTCTCATTGTGTTGCCTTAAGTGCAAGCATGTGGACAAAAGCAGAGCTACAACTATGGAAGAGAGAGGGGCTCCCAATATGAGTAAGAAATTCCCAAAGATCTTAAGGAAGTCAGTCTCCAGGCTTTTGCCAATGCTTCTGCTTCTGCTTCTGCTTCTCCTTCTCCTCCTCCTCCTCCTCCTCCTCCTCCTCCTCCTCCTCCTCCTCCTCCTCCTTCTTCTCCTCCTTCTTCTTGCATTAGGAGTCACATCTTTGTGCTCATAAATTACTCCCAGCAGTACTGGTGGGACCATATGGGTTGCCAGGGATCAAACCAGGTAGGTCCCATGCAAGGCAAGTGCCCTACCCACTGTACTATCACTTCAGCTTTGGAACTGACTTCTTCATCTGTTCCAAATTTCTATTGAGACACCATAATTTACAATGCTGTTAATGATAGGGTTTCTCGTGCATCCATCCATCCAACATCACACCCATCAACTTTCCTCCACCCAAGTTCCAAGGACCTCACCCCCACACCTCCCCAACATCTGCCCAAGGTAAACTCAGTTCTGTTGATCAACGCTCAGGTTCTGTTGCCTCTGTCCAGGCATCTTTAAGTTTCAGACCTGGATCTGTATCAGTGGACAAGACAGTGATGGGGACAGCCTGACTCCCCCACTTCCCAGAGGTTACTGTGGCAAAAGTACAAGAGACTAAGAGGCAGACAAGAGACATTAGGAGTGTGTTGTGGGTTCTTACTTTTGTAGCTCGCTGCCCAGGGCTGGTAGCCATAGTAGCCAGTGATGCGCAGGATCCTCTCCTCAATGGATGTGAGCCCCGCTGGTCCACTGGTGAGATCCTCCACGGACCGTGACCATTTCAGATCCTCTTTAATCGCCTCGTCCACCACCAGGTACTTGAGCTGCCGGAGCTGGGGGCTGATGTCAGACAGTCTCCGGGGACTAACATCCGGTGACCTCCTCATGCCACTGAGGCCGCGAGCAGATGAGTGGAGAGGGGTCCAGAACAGAGAAGGGAGAGATTAGGGAGTTGCGGATCCCAAACAGAACCAAAGGTCGGCCGGGCTTTCCCAGGGGCAGGTGCTAGGGCCAGGCCGGCGCGATTCCCCTCTAGCCGTCTACCCACCTCCACCCCAGAGCCCTCAGCAGCCCGGTCCGGACTCTGGTGGCCCGCTCTGGGACGCTCTGGGACAGGACAGGATGGGGCGAAAGGAAGAGAGAATGCCTTAAACTTCGGGAGCTTCGCAGGCGCGCGCCGCCCCTCCCTAGCCCAGATGCCTGCCAAGGGCCAAAGCCGAGCCCAGCCGGCCCGCTCGCTCCCCGGCGCACCCACGCCCGCTACTCACATGGTGATGCTTTTGCCCCTGGGTGTGCCGCCGGGAAACTCTCGGATCCCCATAGACAGCGGCAGAGTGAGGCCGGGAGCTCCCAGACTTGAGGCTGGAGGACCACGGGCCCGAGCCGCCTGCAGCCGCTAAGACCCGACTGGGCTTTGGGCGCGGTGCCCACCGAGGGTCCACCCAGGAGCCGGTGGCGCGGTGCAGCCTCCGCTCGCCCGCGAGGTGCGTTGGTCCGCGAGCACCTCCCGGGCGAGCGGCTCAGCTCGGGCGCGGCACCCCAGCCCGGCTCCAGCCGGCGCCAGGCGCTCGCCGCAGCCAGCGGGCAGAAAGGGGCAGGGCAGGCACCGCGCCCCTCGCGTGTCGCCGCCGGTCCCTCCGCCGCCGCCCCAGCTGTCTTCGGGCGCGGAGCCTGGAGCCCGGGAGAACACTGGGAGCTGCGTGCGCTCCGGAGGCACCTGGGCCGGCGGGATGTGCCCAGCCCCGAAGCGCAGGGGCCAGGAGGGGGCGCTGCTGGCCTTTGTCTATTACAGGCGTGTGCGCTCGGGTCCGAAGCTGGCTCAAGGCTCCTGAGCTCTGCCTGGCGACCCTGGGGTCGGGGCCTGATCCGTGACCAGCTCTGCTAGGACTTGCCAAACCGTGAGGTTCCGTGCTTGGTGGCTGAATTCTGTTTTTCAGCCTCTATCTCTGTCGCAGGCCGTCTCTTCTTTCTCCAGCTCTTGCACTCTCCTCCTCTTCCCTTTTCTCTCTCTTTCTCCTTCTCCTCTCTCTCCCTCTTCATTCTAAAATCTTGAGGCAAATACTCAGAAATAAACCTAGCTACACGTTCCCAAAAGCATGCCCAGAATGCTAAATACATAGAAATAGATGGAAGTGAACTGACTAGTGAATCTATCACTCTGTGCACAATTTTTAGTCAAGTCAGGGCCACAGAACTTAGATTTATCTGCAAAATGCAATTATAAATCTGCTCTCTGTCCTTCAGTTGGTCATTTTTTCAAAATATCTAATCGCGTGTTATTTTTCGGTTACAAAACTGCATGTTTTGTAACAGAGCAATAGTACAGCAGAGAGGGTGTTTGCTCTGCGTGTGGCCGAGGAATCCCTTTCACTGCCTATGGGCCCTGAGCACAAAGCCAGAAGTAAACTCTGAGCACTGCGGAGTGTGACCCAAAACAAAAACAAAAAAGCTACATGTAACATACATATAAGGAAATTTTTAAAATGTGAACAAAAAAATCATCCAGAAACATTACATTGAATCATAAGTGGATTCTGTTTACTATTTAACTGCAAAATATGTTTCTCATGAAAGCAGAATGAAAGTGTAAATATTAATTTATGTTTTGCTTTATATATCAGGGCTGGAGTGATAGCACAGCAGTAGGGCGTTTGCCTTGCAGCCAGCCCCGCCGAGCCGGGTTCGATTCCTCCGCTGCTCTTGGAGAGCCTGGCAAGCTACCAAGACTATCTTGCCAGCACGGCAAAGCCTGGCAAGCTACCTGTGAAGTATTCAATATGCCAAACACAGTAACAACAAATCTCAAAATGGAGACGTTACCGGGCCCACTCAAGCAAATTGATGAACAACGGGAGGACAGTGTTTGTTTTGTTTTTGTTTTATATATCAAAGTTTTGTTTTGCCAGAGAGAACTACAAATGAGAATAATTTCCTCAAATTAATAGAATGACTGCACTCATGAATATAAAGTAACATAATAGGAAACAAACATCTAAGAATAGTATAGATTAGCACCTGGAGGATCGCTCCATCGCTTGGAAGCCTGTCTCATGTGCTGGGAAAAAGGCAGCTGGGATAGAGAAGGGACCACTAAGTAAATTATGCTCGGAGGATTCTCTTGGGGTGGGAAATGTGTGCTGAAAAGAGACTATGGATTAAACATGATGGCTGCTTGTTACCTGTATTGCAAACCATAACACACCTAAAAGGAGAGTGTAAGTAAGAGGGAATGTTCCTACCACAGAGGCAGCGGTTGGGAAGGGGTGGGGGTGGCAGGAGGGATACTGGGAACATTGGTCTTAAAGAATGAGCATTGGTGGAAAAATGGGTACTTGATCATTATATGACTGAAGTATAATCATGAAATTTTATAAGTCTGTAACTGTATCTCATGGTGATTCATCCAAAAAAAAATTATGGAGCCAGAGAGTACAGCAGCTTAGGCACTTGCTACACAGCAAAACCAGGTTTGATCACCAGCACTGAGAACCCAAGCACTACCAGGAGTGATCCCTGAGCACAGAACCAAAAATTAACTATGCCCTGAGCACTGCCATATGTGCCCTCTGCTTCAAAAAACTTATTTTAATAAAGAAAGTCTACATTGGTGGTGGGAAATGTACACTAGTGAACATTGTATGCCTAAAACTCAATCATGAACAACTTTAACTGTGTATCTCATGGTGATTCAATTTAAAAAATTAAATTTTTAAAAGTCTGAAAATAGCTAGAACTTACATCTCACTTGATGCATGGCAAAACTGCTCTTCCTCTCATTCCTTTTCACTATCTCAGCACAGCTCTAGATTCTGCAATTAGATAAGAAGAGACAAAGGCATACTTATCGGAAATAAAGAAATTAAACTTTGCTCACAAATGACATGATCATTTATGCAGAAAACACAAAAAAATGACTGAAATTATCTACATTAATTTGAAACAAATATCAATTATAAAATGTTGCAGAATTAAAAGTTAACACAGAAAAGTGAATCAACATCCTCTATAAGGGAATAAACAAATATAATTGAAATTTTAAATAATACACTTACATTAGGACAAAAATTACATACTTAGCTATGAATATAATAAAACATTAAAAATTTATGAGGGAAAGTATAAAACTGATTTAATTTATCACTAAATAAATCATACAATAATTCATGTGCTTGGATAGGAGAATACAATATTGTGAAGATTCCATCTTCTTCAAATTTGATGCACAGATATGGTGTAATCCTACTTAAAAATCTCAGAAAGTTATTTTGTGAATATCAAGAAACATTTCCTAAACTTTTTATGGAGAGGCAAAAGGCACAGAACAGCCAAAACTTATTAAAGGAAAAAAAAACAAACCAGATTGAAGCACTGACACAACTCAACATCAAGACATACTATCAAGCTACAATGAGCACTATATTAAAGTACTGGTGGGAAAATAAACAAATAGATAAGCGGACCAAAATTAGCACAGAACAGACCTCCACAAATATAACCATGCATTTTTGACAAAAGAGCAAAATCAATTCAATGAAGAAAGTACGGTGTTTTCAACAAATGGAATTGGCTCAACTGAACATCTTTTTTTTTTTTTTGCTTTTTTGGGTCACACCAGGCGATGCTCAGGGGTTCTCCTGGCTCATGCACTCAGGAATTGCACCTGGCGGTGCTCAGGGGACTATCTGGGGTGCTGGGAATCGAACCGGTGTTGGCCATGTTGGCTGCGTGCAAGGCAAACGCCCTACCGGCTGTGCTGTCACTCCAGCACCTTTTTTTCCTATTTTTTTTCTTTATTGAATCACCATGCGGTACAGTTACAAAGCATTCATGTTTGAGTTTCAGTCATACAATGATCAAACACCCATCCCTCCACCAGTGCATATTTTCCACCACCAATGTCCCAGTATCCCCCCACCCCATGCTAGCCCCTCTCCCTGCCCCTATGGCAGACAATTTCCCCCATACTTTCTCTACTCTTGGGCATTATGGTTTGCTCAAATTTTCCCACCACCATTGAGGTCTGCCTGGCAAGTGCAGATGATAGATAATTCATTTTCTATTGTTCACCATGAGTATCATGACAGGTCGCTTGGCCACGAAAGTGGTCACGTGCTTCTGGGATTCTAAAATTGTAAATGGTTGGGGTTGAGAGACATCTCTGTGAGGATCTAATCCATTTTAAAATTCTTTTGGTAGTCTCTGGGTCAAGGCCGTTATGCGATGAGCTGGCTCCCAAGGTAAATAGTGGGCGTGACAGTCAGGACTCCAAGTGGATGGGGAGATGGGGAGGGACAGCCCATCACCACTGCCACGATGTGGCCTGGGGCCTTAGTCTTTGAACCTGCATACCTGTTTTTTGTTTAGTTTAGTTTTGTTTTGTTTTGCTTTTTGGGTCACTCGCGGTGATGCACAGGAGTTACTCCTGGCTCTGCACTCAGGAATTACTCCTGGCGGTGCTTGGGGGACCATATGGGATGCTGGGAATTGAACCCCATGGGCCGCATACAAGGCAAATGTCCTACCCACTGTGCTATTGCTTCAGCCCCATACCTGGGTTTTCATTCAAAGCTTCTGACTGTCAAGGTTTCATCTGGAGTGGGTGAAGAGGGCACACCCACTCCATCAGAGGTGCCCTGGTGAAATTGGCTCTGTACATGGTTAGAAGATCTCTGGCAAGTCACTGTCTTCCAGGATTCACTGCTACATCACTGGATCAAGGCCACTTATGTGTTGAGATGGCGCCCCAAGGCAGATTGTGGGTGTGAGAGCTAGAACCCTCATGGGCAGGGAGAGGGAGAGGGATGGCTCGTCTCTGCTGCTGCCATGTGGCCTGGAGTCAACAGAACATCTTTATGTAAAACAGATCATCCTAAGCTTAACTATATAATGCAAATTCTAAAACTTTTAGAAAATAATGCAAGAGGAAAATATAGACAATCTTGAATTTTGTGATGAATTTTAGATATATCATCAAAGACACCATCCTAAAAAGACAAAAATTCAGTAGATTGAACTTCATTAAAATCAAAAGCTTCTGATATTCAAAAAAAGAGAGAGAGAGAAAGAAAGAAAGAAGGAAGGAAGGAAGGAAGAAAGAAAGAAAAAAAGAAAGAAAGAAAGAAAGAAAGAAAGAAAGAGAAAAGAACAAATACCCCAGAGAATGAAATGGTAAATCAAAGACTAATAACAACAACACAAAGTGCATAAAACATATCTGATAAAAGTCCTTTAAAAATCTTTTTTAAAAAAATCTCCTAAAATTCCACACTAAAAATATCAACAGATCAATTAACAATTGGCAGAAATTGGGCCCCAGAGATAATATAGGGGCTGAAGTACATGCCTTGCGTGAGGTTAACAAATGTTCATTCCCCACCAAGATGCTCTCAGAGCACTGAATACTCAAGCTCTTATATTGACCCATTCAACTAATTTGGCTAAGAATTATGGGAGGCAGGACTGGGCTGCCTGAACACTGCTTGAAATACCTCTCAAATTTGCAAAATATTTAAGTAGCTATGATACAAAATATGATTCATAAGTTGTCAATAGCATATTAAATAGATATTTCATAAAATATAATTACAAATGATTACAAGTTTATGAAATTATGCTCAGCATCACAGACCACTAAGAACTAGGAATCAAAACAATGAATGAGAGACAAACCTAAAAGAACAGAAACAAATCCAAAACACTGACCATGACTAAA